GGTGGGGACTGGAGCAGTTCCCTGCCTGCCCACAGCCTGCAGGGCACCCTGGCCTTCGAAAGCAGGGGCTGCTCCGACCCGGCTAGGCTAGAGCAGTCCTTCCTCTCCTTCCCACCCAGCCCTCCTTTAACCAGTTAACCTGTTCACCAACTAAATGTGATTTTACAGCTCTGCTACCTCATGGTTGAATTTCAACAAGCCAATCTAGTGCTAGTACCTGAATATTTAGGTGATCTCACATATGAAGGAGTTAAGCACAATCCATTACCTACGCAGACCTGGTTTTCTAGCAATGCTCTGTAGTGTTCACCACAACAGGAAAAGGGGCCGCCCTTATCGGATTTACCTAGGCAGTTATCGGAAAATGTCTTGTTTTCAAGCAAATAAGGTCTATAGATCAACTACATTTCTATAGATCCACTGGGCCCTTACACTGTAAAACTAGAAGAGTGGAGCAGAAGAGCACCTGTGCACCAATGCATGTGGTATTCATTTCTCCAAACGCTGTGACGTGCTCAGGTTCTGAAGGAACAGGCACCTTAGAAATGCCACAGCGATGGGGAAATTATTCTGTCGAGCACACTGAAGAACACACAGTTGCCGCCACAGAAGATCTTATGTAACCACATAAATCGAGCCGATGCTACCGTGACGCACAAAGGTTAACACCGAGAGATGGGATTCCAAAGGGTTGCCTTGAGGCTTGTATATTTGCACAGCACATGTGACAGGATACCGCTCTTAAATAATAATCCACATGTGGGTAAAAGAGAGGAGACACAGCGAACAATCTCCTTAGCCTCCTAGGGCATCATCATTTTTACAACAATCACGCTTCTCCTCCAGAAACACTGACTAGTTCCGTATGGGTGTACTGCCGGGTACAGCGTGCAGGATGACCTGTGCGTGGGCACTACGTTCTGACAGATCAAAGACTCCCACCTGGATAGGATTTATTTTTTTCAAGTGAGAGGCTCGGATTGTCCCAGGACAGAGACAATCACACCAATTTCTAACCCATTGCACCACGTCCCGGCTTTGGTTCCCACTTGCCGCTGAATGGAGCGCCCAAGAGAGACTTCACAATGCATCAAATGGCATCAGAAATGCACCACGAGGTGTGAAAGGAGAGCAAACAGGCCACATGTGCTGTGGTACTTGCTATAGGGTGTGATTGGGGAGGTGGGGCATTTCATCACGGACCCAGAACTCCCCTGCTTTCACGTCAGTCTTTTAAAACCCAATCAGCATTTTTCTGATTTACCCAGGCAGTTTATACCTGTGGTGGCTCTTTGGGGTTCTACGTGTGTCCCCAGAGACATTTCGTTTACCGTTGCCCACGCACAGGGTTGCCAGACTCCACTGGTTTCCATCCGTGTAGGTTGTTTTTTTTTCCCCGACTGGTATTACTGAAGTGACACACATGTACAGCCAGGGCACGTGAAGGGAGGTGCGTGTTGATTGCACACAACAACTGAGAGAGCAATGCAGGACTCTGCAGCCAGAGCGTGGCTAACGTTCAAACGGCACACCCCACCAATTCTAGATATGCAACCCCAGTTAAAACACTACCCTATCCTGGGAGACTCTGGGTTACCTTGGTTACATAAGAACGGCCATAGTGAGTCAGACCAAAGATTCATCCAGCCCAGTGTCCTGTCTGCCGACAGTGGCCAATGCCAGGTGTCCCAGGGTATGTCTACACTACCCCACTAGTTCGAACTAGCGGGGTAATGTATGCATACCGCACTTGCAAATGAAGCCTGGGATTTGAATTTCCCGGGCTTCATTTGCATAAGCGGGGAGCCACCATTTTTAAAACCCCGCTGGTTCGAACCCCGTGCAGCGCGGCTACACGGGGCACGAACTAGGTAGTTCGAACTAGGCTTCCTAGTTCGAACTACCGTTACTCCTCGTGAAATTTGCAAGTGCGGTATGCCTACATTACCCCGCTAGTTCGAACTAGCGGGGTAGTGTAGACATACCCCCAGAGGGAGTAAATCGAACAGGTAATGATCAAGCGATCTCTCTCCTGCCATCCATCTCCACCCTCTGACAAACAGAGGCGAGGGACACCATTCCTTACCCATCCTGGCTAATAGCCATTAATGGACTTAACCTCCAGGAATGTATCTAGTTCTCTTTTAAACCCTGTTACAGTCCTAGCCCTCACAACCTCCTCAGGCAAGGAGTTCCACAGATTAACTATGCGCTGTGTGAAGAAGAACTTCCTTTTATTTGTTTTAAATAACAATTTAACTGGTTACGACAATCTTGTAGTCTACTTTGATGACAGAGATCCACTCAAGTGGCCCACTCACTAGTTTAGGCTGCCCATAGCTGATTTATATGTTGTTCTCCAGTTTACCTATCACATGTATTTACTACAGATATAAAGGGTTAACTGGTTACCCGGTAAGCATTCGCCTTAATGGCATGCTTGACCATTTAACTGGCCCCCAGCCCCGCTGGAGCAGCAGGCTTTCAGGCCACTTAATTAGTTAAACATACAATTTAACTGGTTAGCATTTTCAACAAGATTTTACACCCCTACTAGTCCCAAAAGCTCTAATAGCTTCAGTATACGAGCTTCCCCCTGCTGAAGAGACATTGAACAAAAGACCTGGGACCAATCCTATTCAACTTATTTGTAAATGATCTGGAGAAAGGGGTAAACAGGGAGGTGGCAAAATTTGCAGGTGATGCTCGACTGCGCAAGATACAGAGAACACACAGAAACCTGTTGAAGAGCACTTTAACCTGCCCGGGCCCCCCAAACCCCAGCCCCCTTGCCTGTCCCACCGCCACGTGGGACTCCCTCCAGTGCTTGGGGCCAGTCTGCTTCAAGCCAGACTGATGTGCCCTCAGGCCAACTGAGGGGCGGGCTACAGGGGAGGACCTGGATGCTGCAGCCCAATGGGCGGCACCTTGGACCCACTGGTGGCGAAGGAGATTATGGGGGCTGTAGTCGCAGACGGGGCCTGTGCACCAGCTGTGTTCTGCACATGCTCAGCCTGCCCCCTCCCCGGCGCCTCCCCTGCCAGACGCTTCACGCTCAGTTTCAAATTCCGGCAGGTGTGGAAGCAGCTGGCACCCACGGGGTCCTAGCGCCGTCCTTCCCTCTGCTGTCCAGCTGGCACCCGTGGGGTTCTAGGATTCCTAGCACCGTCCTTCCCTCCACTGCTAAACTGATGCCTCTCTAGTGTGACTATTCATTGCTTTTAAGTTTTTCCAGTTACAGACTAACTCAGCTCCCCCTATAATGCTCAAGATAGTTAAGACCAAAGCAGACCATGAAGAGCTTCAAAAAGATCTCACTAAATTAAGTGATTGGGCAACAAAATGGCAAATGAAATGTAGTGTTGCTAAATGTAAAGTAATTCACATTGGAAAAAATAATCCCAACTATACATACAAAATGATGGGGACTAAGTTAGCTCCAAATACTGAAGAGAGAGATCTTGGAGTCACTGTGGATAGTTCTCTGAAAACATCCACTCAGTGTGAAGCAGCAGTCAAAAAAGCAAATAGGATGTTAGGAATTATTAAAAAAGGGCTGGAGAATAAGACAGAGAATATCTTATTGACTCTACATAAAACCATGGGACGCCCACATCTTGAATGCTGCATACAGATGTGGTCGCCTCATTTCAAAAAAGATATATTGGCATTGGAAAAGGTTCAGAAAAAGGCAACAAAAATGATTACGGGTTTGGAACGGGTCCCATATGAAGAGAGATTAAAAAGACTTGGACTTTTCAATTTAGAAAAGAGGAGACTAAAGGGGGATATGATCGAGGTCTATAAAATCATGACCGGCATGGAAAAAGTGAATAATGAAAAATTAATTACTTGTTCCATAATATAAGAACTAGAGGTCACCAAATGAAATGAATAGGCAGCAGGTTTAAAACAAACAGAAGGAAGTTTTTCTTCACTCAGTGCATAGTCAACCTATGGAACTCCTTGCCAGAAGATATGAAGGCCAGGACTTTAACAGGGTTCAAAAAGAGCAGGATAAATTCATGGAGGTTAGGTCCATTAATTGCTATTAGCCAGGATGGGTAGGAATGGTGTCCCTAGCCTCTGTTTGTCTGGAAATGGATGACAGGGGAGGGGGTAACACGATGATTATCTGTTCTGTTCACTCCCTCTGGGGCATCTGGCATTGACCACTGTCAGCAGTCAGGATACTGGGCTAGATGCACTTTTGGTCTGACCCGGTGTGGCCGTTCTTATTTAACAATCAAAAGTTGCGCCTGAGATTCAGAATGGCTGCAGTTTAATTAAGAAGCAATTTACTTTGAGGGAAAAGACTTGGAGAGGAATTAGCAAAGGAACAGTCTAGGATTTTCCACTTTTGAGTTTTTCATGGATTGCCTTGTTACATTAAACATTTTAACTTTAAAATATGGACCATTTTAAAATTCAAAGTAAAGTCATAAAATCTGGCCGCGCAGAAAAACGAAACCAACATTGAAGAGGCTACATTTTCCCATCCATATTTGTCAATGTTCTTCAGAGAATAGAAATGTTTGAAAAAAAAATTAAATGTTTTCATAAAAAGATCGATTTTTGATAAATAGTGAAATTTCATCCAACACTACCAACTCCGTCAGCTGGAGCTATGACCCAACTGTAGCGATTATTTTAATCCCTCTATTAATGTTGGTCTCTCGGCTCACAACAATGCTAATTGTGATGTAGATAAATCGGCAGGGATGCCTTCATGCATCAGACCAGACATGCCCCCAGCAGCTTTGCAAAGAGGTATCAGCCACTGATTTTGAATAACCATCAACTTGGGCTGGATTTCAACGAGTGACCTAACCTGAACCATCCGGTGCCTCTGCCCTAGATGTTAATGTATTTCCTGAGACCTTATACAGTCATGCTGCAAGATGTATAAAAATAGGAGGTGGCTTCCAGAGTCTTCCAAATGTTCCAGCAACCACTCACGAAGCTGCGATGCTAATCAGGCCAAAGTAGGAATGTCTTACCTGGAAGAGAATCTGTAGCACGCCGTGAATGATGCACATGCGCCGTCCCATGAAGATAAAAAACGGCACCACCAGCTCAATGAAGTGATTGCATAAGGTCTCAAACTGGTGAAACCACCATGGGGACCGATGCATGTAATAGGCAAGTGGGTTGGGTACAGGCTGGGTCTGAAAGAGAGAAGAAAAAGTGTCACGGGGCAGTAGACTTCCTCTGCATCCACTACCCCTACTAACAGAGCCAGTGGAACCTATTGTATTGAAACATTCTACGAGAAAACGATTTCCTCCTGCCACCACCTCAATGCCATTTTTAGAAGACCATTTCCCTCGCATTCTTACTTTGGCATTTTCTTGCTGTGAAACCAAAATCTGGGGACACTTTTTTTCTTCCAAAACCCCGAATCCTTTACAGATTTAGGTTCCATTTTTTTTCCCAGCAAAAAAAATTAGCCATTTTCACAAGAAGCCTCCCCACAGACAAAACTGGAGTTATCTGATCAGCTCTAATTCTGTAGACGCTGTGTGATTGCAAGGGATGAAAAATACTGATTAATCAGCTAACCAGCTAAACCATCTGTAGAAGAAACAGCTGGCAGCCCCTAAGGTGGGGGGAGGGGGGAGGAGAGGAAGGGCAGGCAGCAACTTCTACTCCCATTCCCCCATGCAGGCTCCCAACTCTTGCGGGATTGGAGCATCCCTCCACCCATGGTGGGTTGTGAGCAGGGGGCGGCTCCCAAGTACCAGTTAACCGGTATCCAGTTAGCAGGACAGTCACTATGGGAAAGAATGAATGGACACAAATCAGATATCCAAAAAGGCTGGTTGGAGAACACTTTAACCCGTCTGGGCACGCATGAATGGATTTCCAAGTCACCGGGTTGTTTCAGGCCAATTCCACAAGCCAAATACACAGGGAAGGGTTGGAACGTAACTTCATTTACAAGTTTAATTCTTATCAGAATGGAATGAACAGAGACATCAGCTGGCTCCCACTTTACCTTCCACATCCTAATGACTTAACCAACCAACCAACCAATGGAGGTGCGAATTGTTCTTATCAGCCTCTTGTAACTTAAACAATCTATCCTATACAGACTAACTCATCCGAAGAATCTATTCGCTATCTGTTTTCTCCTTCCTCCCCATCTTCCCCCCTGTCCCTTCCCTTATTTATTCTTGGATCTGGACTTTGAATACTCCAGTCATCTGAAGAAGTGGGTTTTGCCCATCTCCATGTTTTGTTGGTCTTTAAGGTGCTATTAGACTATTTGTTGCTTTTTAAGTTTTTCCAGTTACAGACTAACTCAGCTACCCCCTCTGAAACCAGTATCTAGTAACCCATTCACATCCCTAGCGGTTACTTAATGCTTCTCCCTTATAAATCCTCCTCCTCAACAGAGATCAAAACAAGTGGTAAGTAGCATAACATCTCCATGTTTTGTTGGTCTTTAAGGTGCTATTAGACTATTTGTTGCTTTTTAAGTTTTTCCAGTTACAGACTAACTCAGCTACCCCCTCTGAAACCAGTATCTAGTAACCCATTCACATCCCTAGCGGTTACTTAATGCTTCTCCCTTATAAATCCTCCTCCTCAACAGAGATCAAAACAAGTGGTAAGTAGCATAAA